CAGCTTCCGGGTCATGTGGCCAGCATGACTAAGCTGCTTCTGGCAAATCAGAGAAGCTCACGGAAACGCGGTTTACCTTCCCGCCGAAGCGGTACCTATTTATCTACTTGCACTTTGATGTGCTTTCAAACTGCTAGGTTGGCAGGAGCAGGGACCGAGCAACGGGAGCGCACCCCGTCACGGGGATTCGAACCGCCGACCTTCTGATCGGCAAGTCCTAGGCTCTGCGGTTTAACCCACAGCACCACCCGCATCCCTTTGTAAGAAAAAGGTGGCATATAAATGGACTAAATGAATAATGCCCTCCTGGGGGATACAGAGGTTGGTTGGCAATCTGTCGTGCATGATCTAGTTGAGATTCCTGCATTGCAGGGGGTTGGACTAGATAACCCTAAGGTCCCCTTCCTCCTCTACAATTCTAAGATTCGGGGGGGGGGGGACATTACTAAGCAGCAACTTGGGCAACTCCCCTCCCACCTCCCTTTCTCCCATTGGATCCCGCCCATTAAGACACGGTGAGGCGCGCAATTCGCTATACATTCTCCACATACAAGCCTCTCGTCCAATGAGCGGGATCCAAAGACCGACAAGGCGAAGGGAGGGGTTTCTTCACATTTTTTCCCCAATCAGAATGGCCAAGGGGTGGACGCGTCATGGGGAATTGCCTGACGGGAGTTGAAGTTCTCTCTCCCTCTCATTTGCTCGTCAGGCAGACCGTGGATCGAGCGGACTACAGTTCCTAAGTGCCTGTTCGGCAGCTGAGTTCAGCCTTATGAAAAGGGAGCGCAGGAAGATTAGAAAAATGTCGGTTCAAAGAATGCGCTGGGTGGAATTGTAGAATTTCAGAGTTGGAAGGGAACCCGAGGGCCATCTAGCCCAACCCCTTGCAATGCAGGAATCTCCCCTTTCCCTAATACAGTTTGGGGTCCTGTTCAGGACTATTCTACTCCCCATCCCGTTCAGTTGCAATGGCCAGGTGTGTCCTAGTTTATAAGAGGACAGTCCTCTGTCTAGTCCAAGTCTGGTTTAATGATCAAAAACATTATTATTATTATTATTATTATTATTATTACTTATACCCCACCCATTTGGCTGGGCCTCCCCAGCCACTCTAGGCGGCTTCCAACAGAATATTAAAAACATAATACAGTGGACGTTCGGGTTGCGAATGTGATCCATGCGGGTTGCACGTTCGCAACCCGCAGCGGCGCGTCTGTGCACGCGCAGGTTGTGATTTGGCACTTCTGCACATGTGCAAAGTGCAATTTAACGCTTCTGCGCATGCGTGACCACCGAAACCCGGAAGTAACCCATTCCGGTACTTCCAGGTTTCGGCGGGTGCATAACCCGAAAAAACGCAACCTGCAGCGGCTGTAACCCGAGGTATGACTGTAAAACATCAAACTTTAAAAACTTCCCTGAAAGCCTTGAAGCTGCCCAGACACAGCACAGTAGGCCCCCTTCCCCCACTATGGCGAGAAGTCTTTCTGTGTAAATTGCAGAAATCCGTTCCAAATTTACATATGCATAAATAAATTAGGGGCATACAATTTTTACGTAGCTCTGTTTTGCTCTGCAGCCATTTCAGGGCTACAGTTTTCAGAGTTCCTCATGAGGAGGGATTGGTTTAACAACCAAACCCTCTTCACAGGGAGCTGCAGTTTTGTCAGGGCAGCAGCTTTCAAAGGTTTCTGGCAGGGGTTGCCAGTCCAGGACCTGAGACCCTTCTGCATTCATCGGGAGAGTGTGTGCACGAATTCCATCGTGCTAAGTTTTTTTTTTTTTTTGCTGCTATTCTGTTAGTGTTGTTAATATTGTTTTATGGATCATGAATCCTGTATATGACTTTTGTCGTAATGGTGCTGTTTAGCTTATTTCCCCGCGTCGTTTTGTTAATAGTGCTTTATAGACTGCAATTGTTTTACTGAAGATTTACTGTATAATTGTTTTATTGAGGAATTGTTACGATTTATGTTGTATATGTGAAGTTCTATTATGCTGTTGTTGTTTACTGTTCGTAAGCCGCTTTGCAATTTATGTGCATGAAAAGCAACGTAGAAACATAATCAAACAATCAAATCAATCAAAGCCGATGCTCTACCACCGACCTACCACTTGGACCATGCTACCTGGAGCTGATGAGAGTTGGGATGTCCAAAAATATCTGGAGGGCAGCAGGTCCTGCATCTCCACCATAGAAAGTGTCCTGTGGAAATGCCTCCATATGCAGCTAAATGACACCTCAAATGGGACAGGAGGATCGAAACCTTGAGCTGGACCCGCAGAACCGAAACCCTGCCAGGAAATTGTGTTGTTTTTGTCAGTTCAGCCTGTATGACTGGCCCCCACACAAGCATTTATGTTATCCAGACCCCGGCATGGGTTTAACATGGAGACATGTCTTCTAAAACGGACCTCAAATGGATATCTGAGTCCAGATTTCCCACATTCAAGCCAGAGCTCTGCTGTCCATCACTCCGTTGGCTGCTATATTTTGATTTTTATCCATGGTATCAGGGGCATGGGACGCGAGTGGCGCTGTGCCCTTTCACTGTTCGGATTCCGTTCTTAGACCAAGGTAAAGTTCTCAAACCGGGACACTACTTCCGGTTTTGTGGAATTTGTAAACTGAATCGTTCTTAAACCGGACTGTTCTTAAACCGAGTTACCACTGTATACGTAATGTTATTGTCCTAATATGGTTATTAGTGTCCTAAAATTGTCCTAATATGATTATTAATAACCCACTAGGGACGCGGGTGGCACTGTGGGTTAAACCACAGAGCCTAGGACTTGCCGATCAGAAGGTTGGCGGTTCGAATCCCTGCGATGGGGTGAGCTCCTGTTGCTCGGTCCCTGCTCCTGCCAACCTAGCAGTTTGAAAGCACGTCAAAGTGCAAGTAGATAAATAGGGACTGCTCTGGTGGGAAGGTAAACAGCGTTTCCGTGCGCTGCTCTGGTTCACCAGAAGCGGCTTAGTCATGTTGGCCACATGACCTGGAGGCTGTACACTGGCTCCCTCGGCCAATGAAGCGAGATGAGCGCCGCAACCCCAGAGTCGGTCACGACTGAACCTAATGGTCAGGGTCATCAGGGGCATAGCTAGGCAGAGGCTCAGGATGCAAATGGGCATGTGCCTGTTTACATGCTTGGATATACCCAGTAAGCAAAAGAATATTTCTTTTTAAAAAAAATTAAAAAGGCAAAATGGGAAGATGTCTTGCACATTGCTCCGTCCATTCGGTGCCACCTACACTAACTGGCAGCGACTCTCTAGCGCTCCAGGCAGGAGATATTCCCAGCCCTAGCTGGAGTTGCTGGGGATTGAACCCTGGAACTTCTCCATTCAAGACAGTTGCTCTGCCACCGAGGTGTGGCCCTTGGGAAAAAATGGGGCAGGAGATCAGGGACCTGATGCAAAAGACCTGGGGCTCAGGCCCCCTGGGCCACCCGCCGAGAACACCCCTAGCTCAGTTACAGGACCCCTGCTTAACAAAGCAACCCAATCCTAGACTTCTGTTTACTTCCGCAAGTCATTCCTTTCCTGGGTGTTTTGCTCCCCACCCTCCGGTCCTCCCTGCCCCCATCTCCATCAATACTTAAGCCCGATCTCCACGTCTGGCACATCTGTGTGCATCACTTCATCCTGACATCTCGCCACTGCTGCTCCCTCTACGCCCAAAGTGTACACAGGGGCTCATTGTTCTGGATGCTCAGCTTCCCCTTGTGGGCTGATCTGCCTTGGCTTTCGCTGGCCACTGAGGCTGGCATAACCTGGTACCCTTGGCTGGGTCTGAGGACTTGTCTGGTTTCCCGGGACGTATTTGCTGGAGGAAGGACAGCAGCAATTCCACGAGAAGCTCATCCTCAGATTCTGGGTGAGTGCCGTTTTATTTTACTTTTGTGAGGGGCTTCTGTGGGAAGGCTCACCGATGAGGGCAAAGGACCTGGTTCTTTTTTGTATATTGTCAGAGCATGGATTGATCTCCAAGCAGAGCCAGAGAGCAGTTTCGGATCAAAAGACAGCTGCTAAGGTATTTTTATAGCTTTGGGGGGAAAGGAGATTGCAGTTGTTCGGAGCAGCGGTAGCCAACTTCTGGCTTATGAGCCACATCTGTGGCATCTGTCCCTTGGTGGAACCCCACCAGAACTCAGTCAAGATGTGGGATAAAGCCTGCCTACTGCTTCACTATCAAGAGCAAGAGTCAGGGGGAGACATTTTTGTGGTGTGTGTTCGTGAGATCTTAGCTCAATGGCAGAATACCTGCATCACCCGCAAAAAGACGCAACTTCAATCACCAGCAGCTCCAGGTACGGCTGGGAAAGACGCCTGTTAGAAACTGATTTATTTACAATATGCCAAGGAACTCAAGACCCCGTACATGGTTCTCCCTGCTCCATTTTATGCTCGCAGCAACCCTGTGAAGTTGGTTAGGCAGAATGACAGCGACTGGCCCCAGGTCAGCCTGTGAGCTTCATGGTGTGTGTACCCCTGCGTACCCCCAGAAAAAAGGCACTGGAGTTATGTGACCCCCAAGCCAAGGAGATAAATAACTATACAACCTTTAGAAGATATCTGAAGTCAGCCTTGTATAGGGAATTTTTTTTAAATGTTTAATGTTTTATTATGTTTTTATTTATGTTGGAAGCCTCCCAGAGTGGCTGGGGCAACCCAGTCAGATTGGTGGGGTACTGTTATTGTTGAAATTATTATTATTATTATTATTATTATTATTATTATTATTCATTCGAGAAATGCTGGAGGGTATGTAATACTGAGTCAGATGGACCAATAGTCTAACTTAGTGTAAGACAGGCTTGTATGTTCCTGTCTTACGTAGATCCAGGCAGTGATCTACATGCAGGAGAATGTGGAGACATAGGGACATAGGAATCTGCCTTATACTAAGTCTGACCACTGGTCCATCTAGCTCAACTTTGTCTACACTGACTGATAGCAGCTCTCAGGGTTTCAGACAAGATTCTATCCCAGCCCTACCTGGAGCTGTCGGGGATTGAAACTGTGACCTTCTGCTCTCAAGGCAGATGCTCCACCACTGAGCTACAGCTCCTCGGTCCTGACGTGATAGAAAAAGGGAGAGCTTCATTCAAGATCGCATGCCGAGAATCACAGTTTTGACAGTTCCTTTCTGGCAATGGGTGGGGTGCGTGCAATGTTCTTGCAACTAGAAAAATTGCGCTCTTCAGAAGAAATGGTTGAAATAGAGCCCTAGCGCTAGGGTTATTTATATATTTATTATTTTCAGAAAATATTCCTATGAGGGTGCCCCTCCAGGAGGTCACTGTTATACAGGAGTGATTTAAGAAGTTTAGGTTTGCATAATGAAAGTGCCTTCTCACCCATGTTGTTTTAAATTTAAAATGCCCTTTTGCTGTTAGAAAAGTGAGGGGAAAATGCATTGAAAAGGGTGGGATGAATGAACAATTGATGGGAAGCAGGTTCAGCCCACCCATGAGGCAAGGTGAGGAGACTGCCTCAGGTAACAGGATTCATTGGTGCAGCAGATCCCGATGTCAGAGCAAGAAGGGAGGTGCCATTTGGTGTGTGTCCACCTGAAGTGCCAAAATATCTTGGGCTGGCACTGATGGGAAGACATGTAACCACTTTGCATGTGGATCAGGATGAATGTTGAGTCAATGGCTTGTGAGTCCTATAAGAGTCTTTTAAAAATGGCATTCCTCCCCTCCACTCCATGTTAAAGTCAACTTTGCACCATTCTGCTGCATGTCTGCATCATGAGTAGGGATTTGGTTCAGTCCACATTTAAAGGCAAGCTTATCTCTCTGAAACAATATGTGAACCAAAATACAGGCAACCTTCTGAATTCATACTTATCCAAATTTTGTGATACAGTTCTCCAGTTAAGTAATACACCCAAAAAATGCATATACTTGGATGTATATTCATGGGAAAAACAGGCAAAGATGCATGAGTTTAGGGGAAATTGCTCTAAAATGTGTATCTCAGGTAATATTGCATACAGCCTTGTGCATATTAGGAGACACTCTTTCTAAAATGTTGATGAATTTTCATGAGAACTATATTTAAGAACATGAGAAACTGAAAATGTTGTGAACTGAACTTAACATTGGAAAGATTAGAAACTGAAATGGACATTTTCACCCATTGCTATTCAGGGGAGGTCATGTGTAAATTTAATGGTGAGCTTCTCTTTCCTTAGGTACATTTAGTAGCCCTTGAGAGTGCAGAATTTGAGAATATTTAGCTTAGAGCAAGTGGCCAGGAATGGTGCAAAGGAATAGGTCTTCTTCGGATCCAAAAGGGTTAATTCAGCAGAACTGAAACTGAATTCAGAAAGTAGGTCAGCCATTTGAAATTGTTATATGAACAATACATTTGGAAATGTTTTAAAACGTGGTGCTGAGAGGAAATCGTTTGCAGTGTTCAGTGGTCGGGTTTGACACTTTTTCAGCTGGTGTTCCCAAAACTCTTAAATCAAATAGTGCCCATTGCCAGGAATGTGGCATGGGAGAAAAATGGAATAAACCTTTCAAGGTTGCGGTTTCCTTTGCAAGTAAATTTGATATGCCACAATTTGCATGAGAATTCAACCCCACCTTCCCAATTCATTTCAGCAGTAACCAGGAAAGCCAGGATGCCAGGGCCAGAATCTTGTCTCTGATGGGAGCACTCTTAGCAAATTGTTTTGCAAATTGCAGAGCGGATGGGCAGGGGTGTCTGTGTGTTGCATTTGAATTCTCAAAGCCTTCATCAAATTTTGAAGTTCTCTGGGTTGGTGCGGTGGCTAATCATAAAACCTTTAGCCTATTCAAAAACACATATTGTTCTGCACAATCCCAGTCTCTGAGTGGCGAGACACGTCGGTGGTGGTTTCAAGCCCTTTTCTGAGGTCTGGAACGAAGGTGAATGGAGACTGTGGCATCTTTAGGTTATATTTACCCATATATACAACCTGAGCATAGTATAGAGGGCATCACAGCACTAATCCTCCAGCAAAGGAATTGGTTCAGCAGCCTCTTCTACTGGATTCTAAGCGTTTCCTGTGCACCAAACATTTTGCAACGTATGTTTAAAATACCCCAGGTTGAATCTCTCACATTTCCGAGAGCAGAGGATCTCAGCCAGTGTCAGGGGGACACAGTGAGTAGATGGACCAAGGATCTGAGTACAAGGCAGCTATTTCATATATTTATACTGGATGTTAGCCTCAGGTCGCCCTCTCACAATTATCTTGCATTTCCTCTGGACGTGCAGCCAATGCTGTTCAGCAAGGTATAATAATATAATAATAATTTTTTTATTTATACCCCATCCATCTGGCGGGGTTTCCCCAGCCACTCTGGGTGGCTTCCAACAGAAGACTAAAATACAATAACCTATTAAACATTAAAAGCTTCCCTAAACACTGGACGGCTGACAAAAAAAGGCACACTGGTTGCTGCTGGGCAGCCTTGGAAAAGATGCTGCTGTCTTCTGGAGATCTGTTGGGTTGGATTTGGTGGAGCGTTTCACTCCAGCCTAACGACAGAACTTTTTGCCACGTTATGTTGTTGTTTTCAGCAGTGGCCCAAAGCGAGTAGAAAATTCAGCATGTGGCTTCTTTCCTGTCACAGTGCCCCCGTGACAGGAAAAGCATCACCTGCCAGATTACTGTTGCTGCTAAAACAACTGTGGCTGCCCTGTTGGCTCTCCAGTTGGGACTCCCATCAAGTTCCGCCAACCCCAGCCAGCTTAGCCAATGGGCCAAGGATGAGGGAAGTTGTTTTCTGCTCCAGAGGGTAGGACCCGAATCAATGGATTCAAATGTTAAGAAATGAGACCCCGGCTAAACATTACAAAGCACTTTTTGACTGTAAGAGCTGTTCGGCGGTGGAACAGACCCACCTCAGAAGGTAGTAGATTCTCCTTCATTGGAGGTTTTTAAACAGAGGTTGGACGGCCATCTGTCAGGGATTCTACCCAAATGCAATTTTGGTTTTAAAACGCGTTGTAAGGAGTCTGTATGGGAGTATATTGTATTTTAAAATAGGGTATCAGAGTTTTTAGGGGCTAACCAGGTTGGGATAGCTGGGATAGCAGGCTTGTTGGGTTTTGGATGTCTTATGTAGATTTTTCAGTTTCTTTGTTCTGTATGGGACAATGACAATAAAGATTATCATATCGTATCGAAATTCTTTAGCTCTGATTTCTATGTTGCAGGGATTATAGATGACCTTTGGGGTCCTTTCCAACTCTACAAATCTATGATTCTATGAGTTGCAGCTCAAGACCCACCTCAGGAGGGGCAGGGTGTGTGTGTGGAGTTATCAACCCTTCCTGCTTCACACTGGAATGGAGGGAATTTATATAACGAGTCCCAAACTGAGCAAGCTTTTTTTGCTTTTGGCATGGTGCACGTTTGATTTTATCCACCCGAGGGCAGCAGGGACCCATGAACAAACACAAAGGCCCGCTCAACAAAGGGAGCTTTGAACAAGCTGCGGCTCCTACATGGTGTTCAGATCCAAGCGTGAAGAGGAGAGCTTTTAATAGCAGACAAAGTGCGGGATTGCTCTTACGCAGCTATAGCTCTCCCAACCCCTTGTCAGCACCCTGGCAAGATGTATTTTTATGTTCTCTCACATTGGCCGCGCTTTGTGTTTAAACTGTTCTCGCTTGCAACGCTTGAAAGTGCAATACAAAGGCATAATAATAATACGAAGCCCCCAGTCTTGAGCTTTGAAAGGTTCCTAAGAGAGGGTATCATTCTCAACGATGAGGAGGCAGCGTGAGTTCATTTATGCTGCCTCCTTGCTGGCCTGTTCTAAATTTGCAGAAAACAAACCTAAACAACAGCTTTCGTTATCCTCGTTTATTGTATTTTTATCTCGCCCTTCCTCCAAGGAGCTTCAGGAAGTATTTCTTATTTATTTCATTCAGGGAAATTATACACCGCTTATTGGCGCTTGTCTCTAAGCAGTGTACAAGGAATGCAATCCAATGAAAATTAAAAACTACGAAGTCAAAATTCAGTTTAAATGCTTTCTGGGATTTTTTTTTTTTTAAGTATTCAGGTGCTGGAAGTTCAACAGGGAAAGTGGGGATTCTCTCACCTCAGATGGAAGAGGCTTCCATAAATTCGTGCCCCTGATATTCAACGTATAGCTCCTGATGAATATGAGCATAGAATCATAGAACCATTGAGTTGAAATAGACCCCAAGAGTGCATCCCATCGGATGCAGTGGATCTGAGCCATGGGGGACCACCAACAGTGACTCCCCAAAAGACCTCAGGGATCGGGCAGGGGTATAAGGGATCAGGTGGTCCCTGTGGTACCCTGGACCCAAGTTGGCAAGGGTCTTGCAAAGGTCTTGCAAGGACTTTGAACATGGCCTGGTAGTATATGTGGTTCACTCACCACACCCTTTTATCTTCAGAACAACACTATGAGGTAGGTTGGACTGACAAAGAATAATTGTCCCAAAGTTGGCCCCTGGCTGAATAGGGATTTGAACCTAAATCTCCCCAGTCATAGTCCTAGACTGCGATGGCTATACCGCACTGCCTCTCTTTATGTTTTGCTGCTAGGTCACGCCACTATGAGTTTGGAAACTCTGAAAAATTGTGGTGGTATTTGATCACTAGATCTACATGCCTTGTTAAAAGCATGAGATTTGCTCGCCCTGCCCCCACCACATTAACCAATAATGGCCTGCAGAAAACTGGGTTCAAAAAACTACCCTTGAATTTCATTACTAATATGTATCCCAAGTGGCAATTCTGACAGCCAATCTTTCATCATTAGTTACGTTGCCTGGAAACATCGAGCATTCGGAGGCTTTCAAAATTATTTAAGAACTTCAAAATGTTCTTTTGAATTCTCCCGAAATGCTGAGCTGTAACAATATGAAAACACGATGAGCCTCATCGCCATATGCTGATTCTTCAAGACTTAGCAAATCTGAGAGCCATTTCGATACAAGCACATCCACCTTCTGCTTACAGGAATGCATCTGTAAGATATTGCAATAATCTTTAACGTTTGTGCTGTTTTCTAACCTTTGGTAGAGAGAAGCCCTAGTGACAGA